AGCCCAGAAAACAAGAGTTAAAATGAAGTCATACAGATATTTCACACCATCATAGTTTAATGCTTGAATTAACACCACAGCTCAGTTGCCTGACAAAAGTGCGTTCTCTGGTATTGAAAGTTTCAGCTGATAACTTTACAGTAAGGTTACTTCATGGGTTAGCTCTGTCCTTTATGCTGTAATCATAAGTAAAATCAGCAAGTCTGACCTCAGTCTTAAATCTGGATGCCAAGCTCTTTGACTAGAACATTCTCAGTGCAGTACATAATTCATCTCTGCAATGGAAGAAGTGCTGAAGCAGACATCAAACGGAAGTGCTTCTTTATGGCAGAAACTGGAAATATTTAGGTCTTGATTATTCTTGTCGTCTGTTTAGATAGTGACAATTTTTCCTGAAGCTTGACTACTTCATTCAGAATTTAGAAACTTGTGAGGACTCTGCTTGGGAAGAGGTTTTGTAGGAGAACTTGTCCCTATTGGTACTTTCCAACATTAAATAAAGCATCTGAATGGTAATGTTAAGCCATATTTCCAGTGAAATAATATGTGTAGGCAGCAAAAAGGACAAGACTTAATATTGGAGTAGAGGTGACTGGTAATTGACTGACTTTAATAGTCATTAAAATTGGAAAATCTGCTCCACTATGTCATGTGACAATACAACATCAAGTGCTTTAGAAAGAGAAGTAAAATGGCAAACAGGAAAAGATTCCTTGAAATTAGGATTAAAACTGTTAATTAGCCTACGTAGGCTGAAATAGATCTTCCTTCTGAAAGTTCTTGTAGTTCCTAACAGCCATTGTTGTGCCAGTGTTTATGCACTGCTTAAGTTAGTGCAAAGTATTACTAGCAGGTGTGATGATACTCAGAGCCACTGTTGGTGTGGCCAACGAGTTGTTAAAGTAGCTCTGTTCTACAAGGAATGATAGCTTTGCTTGACTTGCTGTTATTTTAACAAGCTCGCTTATCACTTAGATTGGGTAGTCAGAAGGATCAAAGTTCTCTTACAACAGTAGATGTTAAGAGTTGATCTGATGGAAGTTTGCTATATGCTGACAAATAAAGAAATGTCCTTCATTCAGTAATGAATTTCTAAAATATCAATACTTGTTTTCTTGTACCTTGTTCCTAGCTGGCTTTTACCCTCTGCCCCTAAATTCCTTGTATCAAAATGGTGAACAACCAACTGATGATTTTTCTTTTTTTTTTCTTTTTAGTACATTCAGAAGAAGCACTGTTTTTACTGGCAACGTGTTACTACCGCTCAGGAAAGGCCTATAAAGCATACAGGCTCCTCAAGGGGCACAGCTGTACAACCCCACAATGTAAATACCTGCTTGCAAAATGTTGTGTTGACCTCAGCAAGTAAGTAAATCCTTTAAGTTCTGTCTAGGGTTACAAATGCACTTTTTTTTGTTTGGATTTCTCTTTTGAAAGCTGTCATATTGCATAAACTAGTAATTCCTTGGTCCTTCAGCTCTAAAGATTGTTATAAGTTCAATTCATTTTGCTTTCAGATATGGACCTAACGAACATTAGCCCATATTGCAGAAACCTCTAAAAGGTATTGAATAACTTACAAAGGAGTTGTCAAGCTGTGTAGGGGGAGAAAACATTGATTGCTGAGATGACTCAAGGAGTCCACTCTGGGAAGTGTTTGTTTTGGTTTTGTGTTTCTCTTATACTTTGCTTATTTCATTAGGTGTGTCCAGTATGAATTTAATGGATAGGTGACTTCAAATAGCAAGCTTGCTCCTCTTACCCGGTTACTGCTAGTGGGTGGGTGAGGGAAAAAATGGCAGACAGAAATCTGTTTTTAAAAACCCCCAGCAACCCCACCTTGAATCCACATCCAAACTGTATTCAACATCAAAATTAACCTTGATGCTACTACATCCTTGTCAAGGTATCTTGCTGGTTTTCTGGCATCTAACAGCAAGAGTATATAATGAAATTGCTCCAGCTACAGGCCATAATGCCCTGAGAGTTTGTTAATGAGGGTATTTCACTTCTATGTAGACCTTTCAGCATAAATGTAGGAAACGATGTCTGGCTGAGGTCCAGAATGGAGAGGATGAGGCACCAAGAAAAGCAAAAACTTTTGTTCAAAAAAACTTTAAATACTGTGGGGTGTTCTTTACAGAAGCTTAAATGTCTCTACAAAACAGCTTGTGGTTATGTCTTGTGGCTTTTTTTTTTGCATTTTGAGTGGCCCTCTTTCAATGACCAAAAAAAAGTTTAATTTCTTTAGACTAGGTAATGTGATGTTTGGCATTTCACACAGGATGATGCGATTCTTTTGCAGGATTCTTGATCCTGCTTGCAACATATAACCAAAATGCAGGTGTCTCCAGAGGCAGCAGTAGAAGCTCCTTAGTCTTTGATCCTCTCTTTAGTAGGCAAGTCCTTTGACATCTTTAGAGTAGCGAGGATGTCTTGACTTGCTGTGTTTTCTTTTGGCGCTCTTTTAACACTTGTGGAGCTATTAGGATACAGGGGTTTTTTGCATCTTCTGCTGAAAGGGAAATAATGCTCTACTTGGAAAGGCCCCAGTGGAATAAATTTGAAGCTGATCATTCCCTCCCTTGCTTTTACAAAGTCTGGTGTGTGCATATAGTACATCAGCTTCTGAAATTATTTCAGTTAGGTGGGACTTCTTAAACATATTCTTTAACATTTGTTAAATTTAACTGTCATTGCTATTACAATTATATGAGCTCACTTACACAGATGTACCTTATTTTCTTGTGGGAATGGTCTATACTGATAGAAACATCTACCTACAAGTATAATTTCAAGTAGAGGCAAGAAGAGATGATTTGTTTATGCAGGTGTCTCTCTCAAATGCCAGAAGAATGCTTTCTGTCCCCAGATGTTGTATAAAGTAATTTTCAAGCCTAACAGTGAGTGGCCCATTCCATGTGAGCAGTGCTGCTCACTGCAGGTGTAGTAGGTGCAAACCGAGCCTTTGTTCTCCTTTTGAGCCCCTCTTGCAAGGAAGCAAAGCATTAAAATCCAAACTCTCTGCCAAATCCCAGTGTTGGATCTTAACTGAATGCGTAGAGCCTTATGGATTGTATTTCTTAGTTGAGAAACAAAGCCAAACTAAGCATTGTTTTGGCTTGTTGCTAGGTAAAGTACCTTTGAAAAATGACTTTCTGATCCTCCATTTAGTATTCTACTTCAGATTAGTCACTTCTGGACAAGTCACGTTGTATTATGTGTCTCTGGTTTTGGAGTGGTGTGGGTTTGGAGGTTTGTTTTGTTTTTCTTCCTTCCCAGTAGAGATGTTCAGCTTCAGAGTACGGCGTACCTCCATGTTGCTAGAGGAATCCAATTAAAATTCATTTGCAGGAACTAGTTTGTATGTGGTTTGAAACTTGCGAACACTGACAGTGGATTTCTGTTTTTGTTTGCAGCAGGGTGAAAACACTGGACTACCAATACTGTGAGCCTTGTAACCCCTTTAAACCTCTTGTTTTTTAAAAAGGCTTGCAGAAGGAGAGCAGATCTTATCTGGTGGAGTGTTGAATAAACAGAAAAGCCATGATGACATTGTTATGGAGTTTGGTGACTCTGCATGCTTTACACTCTCCTTACTGGGACATGTCTACTGGTAATGTTTTTTTTATTTTGTCTACTAAGCTTGGGGTTTTTTATTTGACCAAGCCCAATTTTAGTCAAATATATTCTTAGTCACCACAGGGTACACCTGTCTCTGGGTTATATGGCCTGCACAATTTCAGAGTATGATAAATGCAGGTAGATAGTTCTGGAAGCCATCTGATGCCAGAATGGTTTGTCTTTCACCCAGAGGTTCTGACTGAAAACACAAATTCCTCTTTTCCAGGTTAAGCATGTAGTCCAAGAGTACTTTTTTTTTTTTTAAATACCTTTGGATTTGTTCTGTGCTCTTCCCTAAGAGAAACTCCCAAGGCCTGTTTCTCGGTGTTGCCACTTTGATTTTTCTGTATCTATTTTATAGATGTATAGCTATAACCTGCAAATGAAAGTTTTGAGGACTGCCAGTCAGAATAACTTTAGAAATTTAAGTGTTTTGCTTTCGCCTGGATGCAAGAAAGGTTTCAGTAAATGTGAACAGATTGAATAGGTATAGTGGGGTTCTTGGATTCTTCCCCAGTATACCTGTTCTCAAAAAAATTTATTTCAGAAGAAGCATCTTTGTAGCCAGATACCTAGATGTTCCATTTGGCTCCTAATTTATATGCAAAAATATTATCCATAGGTATTTAAAATGGCGGGAGGTCTAGAGATCAGGTTGCTGTTTGCAAAAAAGAAAAAACTGTTGCAAAGAACAGCATTTTTCCAAAACGAAAATTCCTAAGCTATACTAGTGCTTATGTAACTTTTTTTGAGGACTGTAACTGAGTAACTTTCATCTGTGTCTAAATATTGAGCTTTTTTGAAGTTATCTGACATACTACTCTGTGGCTTGGAAAATGAAGAATGTTGCTGTGACTCTCAACATGGTTTTTATTTTGCAACTCCTCTTCTGAAAAGCTATCTTGAACAAAAGCGCTATTCTTAAGTTTTCCTGTAAACGGTTACATTCTTTTTGCAGTAAGACAGACCGGCTTGCCAAAGGATCTGAATGTTACCAAAAGAGCCTTAGTTTAAATCCTTTCCTCTGGTCCCCTTTTGAATCGCTATGTGAAATAGGTAAGTATGCAGAACTGTTTTACTAGTGAAGATGTTTTCTACGTTTCTGGTTATGCCAAGCTTTCTGATTTGTCATTGCCATGTGGCAAGGGTTGTTTTACTCGTTGTCCAGAGCTAGGTAAGGAAAATGCCAGCAGAATTCTTTGAGAGTGGTTTTGTGAGCAATAATGCATTTAAAATACTTGCCAGTGTTTACAGCTTTTGTCTTGTTTCTTCTATTTTCACTACGTAGACATTTTTGGATTTAACAATACTATATGTTTTCCAACTAACAATTAGTAGACCCTTATTCTCAGAAGTGTAGTTTCTAATGTAAAAAGCAAGTCTTTTCTAATAAAACTAATTGTCCAGGGTTTTGTGGAAGAACACTTTTGATTTAGCATAAGGGGCTTTAAAACAATGAAAAAACTACCCCTTCTAAAATACTTTGTCCCCTGTCATCCTTATTTCAGACTGACTATTCAGTGTATAGATTCAGAAATAACTATTTAAATCTCCTTCCAATCTCACAGGTGAAAAACCAGACCCTGACCAAACATTTAAATTAACATCTTTACAGAACTTCAGCAGCTGTCTGCCTAACACTTGCACAACGTTGGTATCCAATCACAACATATCCCATAGACAGCCTGAGACTGTCCTTATGGAAACGCCGCAAGACACAATTGTGAGTTTTGCTAAAATCATTGTCTTTAAAGCAGTCTTTCCAGCTTAACTGAAAAAATACTAGTTAGAAATTACACTGTGTGAGTATCTAACGGCTGTCTTCCATTTCTCAGGAGTTGAACAGAATCAACCTAGAATCCTCCAATTCAAAATACTCCTCCTTGAACACTGATTCTTCTATGTCTTACATTGATTCAGCTGTAATTTCACCTGATGCAGTCCCTCTTGGGTCAGGAACTGCCATACTGTCTAAACAGGCTCAAAATAAACCAAAAACTGGCCGGAGTTTACTGGGGGGACCTGCAGCTTTGAGCCCACTAACTCCAAGGTAAGTCCTTGAGATAGACAATTTCTGTCTACAGCTGTGCTGTTCATAATGTTTGTGATTTGAAACAGGAAACATGTCTGCTGCACAACATACTTGAACACGCATGTTGATAGCATATTATAAATAATGCTGTAGAAGCAAAAGCTAAATGACATCAGTAACTGCTCTTGGTCCTGGTGTTCATCTCCTGTTAAAAAAACATAAGCAGTTGGTATTTTTGATTAGAAGAGAGGGTTGATTTACTACACTGCTTATTGTGATGTTCCCACTGGAAAAAATCTTTAAAGGAATACACCTCTTAGGAGTAAGAGTAGCTTTTCATAATAAAGTTTAAGAGCTTTCCTTGAAGAATAGCTCTCTTCTAAAGAGCCTGTAAATACATGCTCTGTCCTATATGCCATCTTGTTGAAATAGTGTTATAGTACAAGCCACTAATACTTGGATGGTCTGTGTCTGTTAGTTATTCTGCAGGCAGGCAAAGTTCTGCATTTCTCAATTTTGGAAATAAGAATACTTTCTATTGAAGTGTCTCTTATAGATAAGGGTTGTAAGATATTAGAGGGTTAACATAAATCAATGAAGTAGCTCTGAAACAAAGTTTATCATCTGAGGCTCTGTTTTAACCATGGAATCAGGCTGACTCTCGTGGTCTCACATTCAGACATTGACCCTTCCTCTTTGTTTTGTTCTCAGCTTTGGAATTTTGCCACTAGAAACCCCAAGCCCTGGAGATGGATCATATTTACAAAACTACACGAACTCTTCTTCTGTAATTGATGTGCCATCCACAGGAGCACCTTCAAAGAAGGTATCTTGCGTTCTAGAACGTGACTGCTGTTCTAGGAATTTCACATTGCAGTGTACTTTAAAGAAGAAACCATAATGCAGATGAAAAACACTGTACATGAGCTGAATTGTGCTGACAGTGAGGAGAACACAACTTATCCACTGTTTACAAAACTTGTTATGAAAAACAATTTGAGTGTAGAACTGATTGCAGCCTCCTGTAGTTGTGGAAATGGCTTGAGTTAATTAAGCGAGAATTAAATTTATGTCTAATTTGTCTACAAAGCGTGGGGTTTTTTGGTGTGTTTTTTTTAAATCTGCTCTTACTAACAATTATTTAATGCAGTGAAATATTGTTCACCAGCTCATGTGTATTTATAGGTTAGCAAGGTTGGGGGTGAGGGGAGCAGATTAATTTGAGTACAACTGGTCAGGTATTTCCCTGACACAACTTTTTAGAATTTTCTGAAGTGTTAGTTAAAATTCATTGTAGAATAGCCCATTACATTGAAACAATGGTTTCTAAAGCCTCAATAGTTTTTTTTTATTTTGAAATTCTTCTTTTCAGCTAAGAAAAAAATACACCGTATCTCAAGTAAAGACATCTGTGTTGTAAATATTTTCAGCTTAGCGTGTCACTTCCTTTGGCTAGCAACAGATTTTTGTTTTCTCAACTTTTATAAGCAATAGTCTTCTATTTCTAAATAAGCCCTTTTTCGCCCACCCAAAATGCACAGGCATGTGCAGACTGCCTAGCTGGTGTTGCTAGAGGCACCCTGAAGAAGGTGCAGTATCTTCTGTCCACCTGCCATCAGAGAGGAACGTACAAACACTAAGGTTTCTAAACAACAAAGGATTCATAACTCTTCAGTGTGCAAAGTGGAGTCTGAAGACAGTCCAAACTTGGAGTCTTCGCGTTAAGAGTTTTTTAAATTAATGCATTTTCAGGGATGACTTCAAATAATCCTAGAAGCCTCAAGTGAGCTGAAGCTACTGCTTTCTTGCAAGCAGTGCTTGAATTCTAGTTTGCAGATCTGAGTAATTAAAATACTGCTGGTAGCCTGTGGAGGGCTGTACTGATAGAATGATGCTGTTTCACTCAGCTATGTCTTGTGTAGAGGAAGTGAAAAATTGTCTTTTTTACTCTGTAAGAATCTGCCATAGTTGCCATAGTGATAAATGAGAGGTGGAATGTTGGTGACAGTTGAAGAACCACTCATTCCTTTCTAAAAACAAAAAACCTGAGGATTTTTCCTTGTATTTTTAGTAAATCTGGAAATTACATGAGGGATGCTACTGTTTTTTATAGGTGGCCAGTTCTTCTAAAATAAAGCTCAGTGCAAATAGTGTTGAATTCTTCAAAAAGTAGAACTTGAATTTCCACCTTTGATGCTCTGGGCAAATTGGTTGGGGCTCAACTTGCTGTGCCATTCTCTAAGTGAAAATTTGGAGTTGTTAAAAAATGTGTTTGTCTTCTCTCATTGGCCCAGTATGTAAAAGAATAAAAGCTGGTAAGCAGATAACTCTTTTCCTTTGGATGGCCTTCTGAAGCTTGTGACTGGAAACTCTGGAATTTCATTGCCCAAGCCATTATGGTACTCCGTCTCTAGACGTGTCATTACTGCAACACTTTCTATCAGTTCTTAGTCTTGCCGCCTTATTTATTTTTTGCCTTTGTTCTGTTGGGGTTTGACTATGTTAAAAGAGTCTACTAGAAGTATGCTTCGTCTGGCTGATCCCATTCCCATCCTGTAGTTGCTCAGGACCAACCAGTTTTCCGTGGTGTAGTGGAAAACACTGACTTGTGGTGGACGGTGCATATGTAGGAAGGGAAATTGTCATGAGTCTGAAAAACTTAAATAGTTAGCAAAGCGCAGCTCTTCAGTGTAGTTCTCATCTTCATTTAATCTCACGTGTGTACTGCATGATAGATGAAAAGTGTTGGGGAATCAAGTCGTAGTTGCTGCTGCTGTGTTGCTTTGCTAGGTATGGCACAACAGCACTGAGGTGTAAATCTTGCTAATCCATGCATATGTTTTTTGCTCAGATGCATCTGTGCTACTACCTAAACACAAATATTTAATACATTTTAATAAACAGCTCCAAATTCTGATGCATGCTTTGTCCAATGCAAGTAATTACTTGGCCAGTTTCACTTCTGCTCTTCAAATTGCCAACTTAGAAAAGGTTTAGTGTAGCTGTGGCTAGAATGTGCATGACTTAACGGAGGCAGTTTCCTAGGAAACACTTACGTAAATGAATGAAACATTAGGATGGATCCAAAGGCTTTCTGAGTGGGCAAGCTTGCTTGCTGGCTACCTAAACTGTCCTCTGATAACAAAGAAACTAAGAAAGGAAGGGAAGGACAAAAACATTAGAAGTCAGATAATGCATAAACTGGTGTTGCTTGTGCTGTCATTGATCCTGCTTGCTGATTTCCAGTGTCTTAAAGAACATCTCTTCCAAACAGCCATCAGAGTTGAATGCTAGTGTCCCTGGAGTGGGCAGAAGGATAGGGTTTAAGCTTTCTTTAAAAAGCAGGGAGAGGACTTGTTCTGAATCCTTTACAGGAAGTCTGCATATTGGACAACAAATTTCTATCTGAACTTGTTCCTTGGGTCTCAGATTCACAGTCAAGTTATCACAGCTCTAAGTTCCCACACCTCAGCTGTTCCAGGGTAGGCATTGAAGTACATGTTTTATCTTCGTACGTCTTCAGAGAGCTACAAGAGTGTTTTGGTGCTAAGTCATGTTACATGCTTGTAACCTGTGGCAAATAAAAGGTACTAAAAATGTGCATGTGCACAGTGTTGCTCAGCTGACATGTAATAACTTGCTCCGTGTTAACTCGACTGTCAGTATCTGCCTATTAACTTTCAATGCATAATGCAGGTCCCTTTTTGATGAAGCATTTTTTTTTCCTATATCTGCTGCAAAGGCTCATGCAGTGATGATTTAATTTGTGAAATACTGATTTATGCTATGAACAGGTATGCTAAATGGGAGTAGCAGGCTCAGATGCTGTACAGTGAGCACCTCAATGAGGTGTTAATGGTGAAAGGCTTCTGGATGCGATTGTAATATTCAAAAATATTTTTCTTTCCATGGTTGGTTGTATTTTGTACAACTTTCTGTGGAGAAGGAACTATAAATACGACATATTTTCATTCCCTTTTATTCTTGCACAAACATCTTGACATGTAGTTTCTTGCCACTAGATGGAGATTTTATATCTTTCACATAACATGCATGGAGTTCATAAACTCAGTGTTACTGGCTTTTTAACAGGTAGAAAGAGAAATGCATTCAATGGGCCTTCCTTGGATGAGGACCCCCACCCTTTATTGAAAGAATCTATATTTATCCTGTATTTGTCCTCCTTCATGCAGTGTTTGATAGGCAGAATGGATCTGGTTTGATACAGCAGAGATTGAGACTTCTTAGTGACATAATAACAAACCTGTAGAAATTTTGTGTTATGCAGACTGTCAGCAGGATAAGCCAAGCTGGAACAAAATCTGTCTTCTCACAGAGCGGAAATAGCCGGGAAGTCACTCCAGTTCTTGTTGCACAAACACAGAGCTCTGGCCCACAGACAAGGTAGGGGAAAAAACAAAAATATCATCTTGGTATTACCATTTGCATCCCCTTTCTTGAAGGGAAGTAGTGCTTTATTTGCCCAACCTGTGTGAGTCTTCCTGCAGAACTCCTCTTTGGATGAGGAAGAAGTGTATATTTTGTTAGGTAAAATAACTGCAGTGGATAACTAAGAAGCTCGTGCGTGGTGGTTGGTCTGTTTAAAATCTCCTTTGCAGTTAGCCTATTTCATCAGTAAATGAGAAGGTAGCTGGAGGGAAATTCTGCTTGTGTTCTTAACGTGCAGCAGGTAGTCCTATTTCAAGGAATGAAAAAAATAAATCTATTTGTGCTATAGCACTTGAGCATTTTTGTTCAAAACAAAGGTAAAAGCTTTTTTTTAATAAAAATGGAGTGAAGAACTTTAGTTATTAATGTGCCGTTTGTTTTCAGTACGACACCTCAGGTATTGAGCCCAACAATTGCTGCTCCACCAAACGCACTGCCTCGAAGAAGCTCTCGCCTGTTTACTAGCGATAGCTCTACAACAAAGGTAACAAACTTTATGCATTTTGCAAACTTTTGGGTTTCTTACCCATGCTGCTGCACTAACAATTTCCCCATGTGCATAGCAATTCTAGCAGCTTAAGAACAGGTTCTATAATGAGCAGCATTTATGAAACATCTGCCTCTACAAAACATGTCATGATGCCGTAACGTGTTGGGTTTTTTTTAAGCTCTTGAGTGCTCAACTAAAATAGGATGAGGAAGAATATCATGAACAAAACCAAAGAGACACACTGGGTTGACAAATGCAGTGGTGCTGCTAGCTGTCAACCCATTTGATAAAGTGGTTGGGTTGTTCAGATATGTTTATTGAAAAATGAATTTTTCAATTTAAAAAAATGGGGGTTTTTTTCCAAAACAAAGTTGTTTTTATATTGGTTTTCTGCTCTTCAAACAATGGAGCAGAAACCAAAGTGCAAATACTCATGGACTGTAGTTAGATGGCGTGAATGTTTGCTGTTTAAAAATGAACTACTAAAGGTTCAGTGAAGTTACTAAATGTCTGTACACTTAATTTTAAAGCCAGACAGCTGAGCATCATTGTTAACGCTGCAAAGAGGCATGAATGTGACAATTCACTTCCAAGTTTAGTCATCTGAATTTAAAAGACTCTTATGTATGTAACTCCTACTCTTTTTACTTGCAGGAAAATAGCAAAAAATTAAAAATGAAATTTCCACCTAAGATTCCAAACAGAAAAACAAAAAGTAAAACAAATAAGGGAGGAATAACTCAACCAAACTTAAATGATGGTTTGGAAATTACCAAACTGGACTCTTCCATCATTTCAGAAGGGAAAATTTCCACTGTTGCACCACAGATCCAGGCTTTTACGCTACAGAAGGCAGCAGCAGGTCTGTTTGAACTCTCTTGGACTATAGTACAGTAAAACTTAGTATATCTGTGTTTTAAGGTTGAATAAAAAAAAAAAGTTGCTCCAGTGTTTGCTGCTTTCTTGTTTCAGTTAGCCTGCAGCTATCACCTCTGTATAATTATAAAAACCAATTGAATCCAATATCTTCTAGTTAACTTACAAAGAACATGTGAAGTAGTATTTAAAGTGGCTAGTTGTAAGCAGATACATATTGCAAGCTCTGATCCTTATTAATGATTAAAATATTTTCAGGCAAGATCCTTGGAAACTGATTCAAAGGAGCTATGAGTAACCCAGTCATCTTCCCTCAAAACTAGGTTTATGTAGTCTGTTCTTCCTTCAGATTTCCCATTTGTTTAAAACAAGTCTTTATTCAGATTGTCAGAATATCCCAGACAAAATGCTGAATTCCTCTCTTCTGGCTCAATAATGTTTCCAGGCAGCAAGAGATGTATCCATGGATACCAGACATGTGGAAACTGTGTTCAGACCTAACAAAATGTTTGAATAGCTGCTGTAAACACAAAACTCCAGTAGCCCTGAGCTTCTGAGTTTCTCTGTTCTCAAGTATTCTGTTGCTGGCTTAATTAGTCGTTACCATCTGACCTCTATTACAGGGGTTGATGCTTAGAATATTATGCCTAAGTTAAGAGTGTATAAGCCTGTGTTTGGGAACTCCTGAATGATTTTCATAGGCAAATTCAGGAGCAGTGCCTGCCACAATGAAGAACTTATGAGATTAGCAGTTTCAAGTAAATAAGTTCTAGCTGTCTCTTTCTCTTTCCACTTGTATTTATTGTATTTTTCTCCTAGAAGGTTTGATGAGCCTTCTTCGTGACATGGGGAAAGGTTATTTAGCCTTGTGTTCGTACAACTGCAAAGAAGCGATCAATATTTTAAGCCATTTACCATCCCACCACTACAACACTGGCTGGGTGCTGTGCCAAATTGGGAGAGCTTACTTCGAACTTGCAGAATATATGCAGGTAGGAACTGTGTGGGCTGGTTCTTACTGTTTTTGCTTTTGTTTTGCATAGCTTTGCACAAAACTTGCAGGCTTCCGGCAAAAACTATGGGAAGTTTACAGGTGAAATAATTGTATAAACATAGAAGTTATACCTGAAATGGATTTAAATCTTGAATCTGCATCACTAGTCATTCAGCTTTCCTGAAGAGTTACTCTTTTAATGTTATTTCCTCTTGCATCCAACCATTGGGTGCTCCTCCTTGCCTCTCCCCATCTTCGCTCACAGCTGTGCTGATGTAACTGTACTGCTGTGTTGTAAGTTAGATCACTGAAACACTTTGGGTTCTAAAACCAAAAACTTGTCTCACCCGTTTTAGTTAACACAGATCGCATCAATGGCCTAGTTTCCTTTGCAGCTTCAGAGATGGCAGCATTGGCACAGCTGAGGTGATGTCAAACTGCTTCAGAAACAGAAGTGAGTGGTTAAGGGTAATCCAGCAGTTCAGTTCTCCTTGTCACTGCTGTCCCGATAGCCGATGTGCCCGTTTCCTCAGAAGTTCTTAAATACTGTTTTGTTTTATTCATACTTTTTTTTTGTTTTAATTTTGTTTTAAATTTAACTTCTGTTTTTAGGCTGAGAGAATATTTTCAGAAGTAAGGAGGATTGAAAACTACAGAGTAGAAGGCATGGAGATCTATTCAACTACGTTGTGGCATCTGCAGAAAGATGTTGCGCTCTCAGTTCTTTCAAAGGATTTGACGGATATGGATAAAAACTCACCGGAGGTATAAAATGCTGTGGTGTTGAATGAGTAGAGGGTAACTGTATGTGGCAAAAATCAATGATTTGGAGCAAAGCTCTGAACACTTAATCTAGTTCAGGTGTGTTCTGCTGAGAACTGTGTGGCAAGACTGAGAGGGAGGTGGCAGGACTGTCTGAACTGATGATGCCTAAAATGGCTTTGTAGAATTAGAATATCAGCTTACATGGAACAGGTTGAAACATTTCATCTGTTAATGGTTACTTAAATTTGCATTGGCACCATTCATCCAGGAAGATCGGGGGTTAGTCAGTCACTCCTGCTGCTGCTGGTACGTGCAGATAAGGAATATCTTTTTCCTGTACCACCTTCTAATTGCTGCAGTAAATTCACTGGCACTTAAAATATATTTGCTTTAGAATTTATTTTCAAATGTAGTGTTGTACATTTTTATTCCAAACTCTGTTGAACTGCAGAGTGTATGGTGGTATAAAGTCATCATACACAAAAAGCCAGGCATCTTTGAATAGGCGCCACAGTAAAAGTAATAGATGTGTGTATTTATAAATGTGTTCTTAACAAAGTTCAGAAAACTGTACTTATATAATATGAGACTTTCTTCTTGTTGGAGGAGACAATCCTGTTCATGTTGTCTTGTTACCTTGTCTAATAGTGGGAAAATCAAAACCAGTGAAGCAATTGGTAATTGTAGTAAGATAATCTGGAGACAAGAAAATGCAGATTCTAATACAAGGAGTGGAGAACAGTTATGCGATTTGGCAGTGATGCTAACAATTTGGAAAAGCAAGGGACCCTGGGCTGTGGTGCTTTACGATCTCGATGCTGGTTGCTGAGCAGGAGGGAAAGAGGAGGTTGCTGAGATTCTAGATTTGGCATTTGGAGGGAGCTGAAGAGTGAAAGTGAACGTATACTGTGTCCCCTGTAATTATTCATAGATAGCTAAGATGTTTTATTTCTGGCCTTTTCAACAGCTTCAAAAGCTTTAGTCATTAGTCATCAAAGTTTTTAACTGGCATAAACTTGTTGAGTGTCCTTAGATACTTGATTTCTATATTTCAGCTTGTCTAGCTATAAGGTGTATTTAGGCCTATCTGCCTCTGTGGAATGAGACTTTTTTTAATTATTTTTTTAATCTAGGAGAAAGTTATATAAAATTATGTAAATCAGTATGGAAAAAATCTGTTCAGTTCAAACTTAGTCATTCCAAGTTGTAAAAAATGTGCTAATTTTGCAATGCTGTTTTTACTAGGCATGGTGTGCTGCAGGAAACTGTTTCAGCTTGCAACGAGAGCATGACATTGCAATCAAGTTCTTCCAGAGAGCCATTCAAGTTGATCCAAACTATGCTTATGCCTACACCCTGTTGGGGCATGAATTTGTGTTAACAGAAGAACTAGACAAAGCATTAGCTTGTTTTAGAAATGCAATCAGAGTCAACCCTAGACACTATAATGCATGGTAAGCTTTGCTTCATTCTCCTCCTATTGCATGTGTTATAGAAGTCCTTTTGGAGAAATACCTTCCAGATGCTCCTACTCCTCTCTCTAAGAAGAAAGCAAAGCTATTTCTGCAGAAGAAATCTGTTGAAATTAACATCTCAGCTCTCAGAGACCTGAGAACATCAGAAAGGTCTCATCTGTTGATTAACAAGTTACTTTCAGGAGGAGGGCAAAAAAACTGGAGCTTTTTTGGTTTCCACAGTTATCTTGGTTGTATTACCCCAGCTATTTTGTTCTGTGTGGCACTCCTCACGTATCTAGTTGATTGTTCTTCAGTTGCAGTTGGAGAGATGAGAGATCTGCCCCTTTATACCTTAGGATACAGTCAGTTTCTTACAGCTTTTTCTGTGGAAAAAATACATAAAGCAGTAAAGCAGTAAAAGTTAGATCTGCTAGTGTAAGTCACTTAGTCTTGAGAAACTTTTGTATACCTTTTACTTTGTAGCTGTTTACCCAGTCTTCCTGTGTATTGGACATCAATTCTTCAAACTACCCAATTACGTAAAAAACCCAAGATAACTTTAGACATAGCTTCCCACACTGGATGGAGCTGGCAATTCTATAGACCACTTCTGCCAGGTCATATTCACTGACAAAGACTAGTTTAATTAGAATATGATCTTACTTAATTGTTTTTCTGCTTACAGGTATGGGTTGGGAATGATTTATTACAAACAGGAAAAATTCAGTCTAGCAGAAATGCACTTCCAGAAAGCACTTGATATCAATCCTCAGAGCTCAGTCTTACTGTGTCACATTGGAGTAGTAAGTAGATTGCACTTGTCTCTATCCTTGTGTTTTAATCTGCTTCTGTACTTTGTTTGCAGTAGAAAAGTAATTCTTAATGTTTTTTAGCAAAAAAAGCCCAACAGTTTCAGCGTACCTGTTGGAGGATCTTAAGTGCCATATGAATGAATAACCACAGGATTAATGGGTCAGAAAAGAAACCCTCCTCTCTCTCTCCAAACAGCTCTTAGCCCATGATGAAATTATACAATCGGGTCATGTTTGAGTCAGCCAAAATAGTAGTGATATGAAAATTGAGACTGTTCACATTAATATCTGCATACAGAGTATTTATAGGGCTTTTTATACTTAATACATAAGAAATTAAGTGGCTTTCAACTGCTATTGTATGCACTTGGACCACCACTTTCAGTTCTATAAAATACAAAGGCACTCACCTCACCTTTCAGAGTGCAAGACTTTTGTCCTGGCTATATGTCTGCATTGCCCTCACTCCAGTCACTTGTAGATGTGACAACTTCCTAGGCAACTCTATACCAAGTTAACTTAAGTAGCAGGCAGCTACTTCAACCACCATCTGTTCAATTAAATTTACAGGGCTACTTGAAAAGTTGGTCATTTATCCATCTGCTACTGCAGTCTTTAAAAAAAAAAAACAGTAGCCTTGCTCTAGTGAATGCTTGCTTACAAAGTTGGGAAGCAGTTCTCGAATATTTGTGATGGTGACTTAAGGCTGTGTAAGCGTGGTGGATTGTTAGCTACTGGCATTCATTTGCCTCCTACGTGGCAGCAAAGCTGTGTCAGATACTACAGGGATAGTGGCTGCTTCTCACTTATGTATGGAGAAAGGCCTTGAGTTTACTCCTGGCCAAAGGTTAGATGACTTCTGTAAGCCTTTGGGTGGGGAGAAGGTTTTGAGGTGGAGACAAGATGAGGTGAAGTTTTCTTCCTGTAAGAAAGCTTGTTAAGACTTGGTCTGGAATTGGACAAATATTTTTTTTTTCTTAAAGGAACAGATTGTAAGTAAATGGGGTCAAATAGATTTGTCCTTGTCTGGCAGATGAGTTGTTATTTTCCCCTCTTAAAACTGTTCTCTCTTTCTGCAATAGGTTCAACATGCACTGAAAAAATCTGAAAAGGCTTTGGATACTTTAAACAAAGCTATTAACATTGACCCCAAGAACCCGCTATGCAAATTCCATAGAGCTTCTGTATTATTTGCAAATGAAAAATACAAGGTAAGGTTGTCTATGTGTACCAAATCTTAAGTTATCTTTAAATTGCTGCAGCTGGGAATGGGGATGCACTGGAAGCTAAATGCTTACAGATTAACACTGGGTAGCATCAGGGCTTGCAGGAAGAGCTAGGGACATTGGCCTATCTTGTAGAGGCTAACATCAAGCATCTGCTTTGACAAGTGCCACCTTCAGCAAGGGAACTACATTCAATTTTTTGATTGTTATAAAATCTGGGGCCAACAGGTGATGCTGTTTATTGTCTGACCCTGGAAAAAGAATGGAAAGAAGGGGAAATTATTGCAGCTGTCGCTGACGTGTGGCTATATTATCATGAGTTTATACTAAATTACTAAAAAAAGGCTCAGCAAACTGCCCCATAACCAGTGACAGCAATAAGGAGCAGCTGTTTCAAAGGTTGTGTTTAGTGAAAATTAAGCAGCTAAGCAATTTTGGTCTGATCCTCTGCTGACCTGTACCCTGCTTAGGATCTGTCTTCCCAGTGACTGTTGTCCTCTGGCTACTGAAGGAATTTGACCACAGTGAAGTGATGTTTTAGCAAATAAAACACTTGGACTCTCTTCTTTATCAGGCTGAGACTTGTAAGACTAAAGTTACACTGTTCACATAAACTACTTAAAACTTAATGAAATGTTTTGGCTTCCAGCACTACTACTAAGAGAATTTTGATAGTGTGATAAATTTGGCTAGTGTCAGGCAAATAAATGTAGGTTTACATTTCCATTTATGTAGCAAGCCCTAACTTGAAATTGTCTTCACATTAATAAGTTTTAGAGGGTTTAATGCAAGTTTTTATAACTAAAACCAATGTTTATTTCTAACTACAGACTAAATATTTTTAGGTAAAATTATTAATAATGCCAGGTTACTGTCGCAGCAGAATAAATTGCTCCAGTGTCAACAATGAGTTTAAAGTAGAAATTTCACTAAATATTTTGGACTTCAAATGCCTAATATAAACACAGTCATCATTTGCAAAAGTCCATGTATCTAAAACCAGAACCTTTCAAAAGCATAGGCCTGGGAGTAGCACATCCAGCATAAAATATATCAATATTCTTTTTGAGAAGCTCAGCTTACTGAAGGAGGTGCCCACTGGAAGTATGCTCTTACGCCCTGTTGGGGACAACAGGGGCATCTGATGTCAGAGTTGTTAGATGTGTTGTAGGAGACCAGAGGCCAATAAACTTGTTCTATTTCTGTAACAATGGGGCTATAATATGCTACAATCCTGAAATGAGAAACTAATGTAAAAGGACTTTTAGATGCTTCTCATGAAATAGTACTGTTGTTCTTGATGGAATATACTGTGTGTAAATGCCAGGTTGTTGGGTTTTTTTACATCAGTGCTAAGTCACAGTTTAATGATGTTTACTGATGTCTTAACTGGTTGCAGACAGCTAGCTTGTGCTTACTAAGCTCTTTTTTTTTTTTTCCCTTTCAGTCTGCTTTACAAGAACTTGAAGAACTGAAACAGATTGTTCCCAAAGAGTCTCTTGTTTACTTTTTAATAGGAAAGGTAGGTAAAAAGTAACTGATTGTAAGTTCCTATTTTTGAGTCTTAAATAGAACCGCTTGTTCGCTCTTTCTACACAGATGTGCTGTTTCCCTTGGGACTTGTATAATAAACCTTTCATATCTACCCTCCACTGCTTTTCATAAAATATTGGTTAACTCTGACTTGGTGTGTGTGCTGTCCAAATGTTCAAGTAGCAACTTCATGTAAATGTAGCCTTTTATGCTTTTTATTTTTAGGTTTATAAAAAACTGGGTCAAACACATTTGGCCCTAATGAATTTCTCATGGGCAATGGACTTAGATCCCAAAGGAGCCAATAACCAGATTAAAGAGGCCATTGATAAACGTTACCTTCCCGATGATGAGGAACCAATAACTCAAGAGGAGCAAATCAGTGAATGTTACCCCTATGAATCAGGTTTGTATTTCCAACCCTTTGTCAGTCAGGGAGGTATTTCCACTCAGGTAGTAGGAAGAATCCCAGGTTTAGTAAGTGAAACATACTGCTCAACATCACTGCTCGGCAAGTAAGAACTCCAGAGGCTCTCAATTCAGAAGAATTCACTTGTGTTTCCTACAGTGAGCATGAAATAAAGGATTGTGACACTTCTTCAGAATCTGTAGATGGAGTAAGAGATAATGACTACTGTAAATTCATACAAATCATGGTTGGCTAATAGTATCCTAGGAGAGCAGTATGTTCCCGCTTCCCTCATAGAAGCGTCAGGACATTTCAGGGTAACTGAATGACAACTGAAATTGTCTGTAGAGGCTTTGTCAAAAGTTAAACTGGACGTTGTGTAAAAATATTTGGTTGGCTAAACATAAAAGGTAGATTTTGATGGAAGTCGTGGAAGCCATTTCATTTCAGTCAAGAGAAAATAAACCACTCCCATTATACTACTTAAGAGTAATCCACAAAAAGGAATGGCCTGGGTTTCTCTTCTTTCTCTCTCAACACTTTATCATGAGCTTAAATCCCATGAAGCTGGGTAGCTGTGTGAAGCAAGAGTAGTCATAAATACTGACCTCTTTGATGCAGGCTGAAATAGTGGTAGAAGGTAAATACTAACAAGCAATTTAATTCTTTCCCACCCAAAGAAGAAGAAAAAGCAGGGTTTGGATTCTTATTAATAGAAGACATATGCTATGTTCTGCAATTCTAAATCTTCAACTGAAAATTGTCACATTTTTCCTACTGCGTATCACATCAATTTTTTTATTGATCCTGTGCACAGTGTGCGTTTTAATACTGGAAACATACCCTGTGCTGCGCTTCCCAAAGCATTAAAGAGTTTTTATCTCCCTGCTGTTGTAGTTGGGCTTAGGACACTGGGGCTGAGCGTGGTTCTCTCCAGAAGATGGAGACAGAGCACTTGAACTGCTGAGCAAACCTCAACCAGTACAAAAAAAAACCCAAACCCCACACCTCAAAAAAACCCAAACCCAAAACCCCACCACACAAAAAGAATGAAAACCAAACAAAAACCAACCCAAAAAACCCCCAACAACTTAATCAGTCCAACAATGTAAACAAAACAGTGTTAGGCTGTGTGTAAGCAATGCAGTTTCTCTGGCTCTGCAGATAAAACGTAGAAGAGTTTCATGGTCTCAGCTGAATAATTCTTTTAGGATACATAAGACAAGCTAAAGTAAACTAAGGTAGTATTGGGGACAGGGAGAAATTGTTTTTAATACATTGGCTAGTGTAAGCTATTTTGTGCATTAAATTGCCTGGCATGGGACTGGCTGTGGCTGTTGTACAGAAATCTGTAAAGTGTTTGCTTTAAAACAATAAAAAGCATCTGTGTTTCTCCACACGAAACAACTTGGGTATTTGGGAATTTACAATTAATCTGCTAAATTGTGCTATGGAAAGCAGACTCAAGTTGTATTCCTGTGTGTGAAGAACAAGCATTAGATATTTACCTTTGTTCTAATTTTTAACAAGTATAGAAGTTAAATATTTAAGGGTAGCCTCTCAGAATGTACGCACTTATTTTGTATGCTGTGCGCAGCCTGCTCCCGTTTATTTAAATAGCAGTGGGAAAGTAGTGTTCCTGGGAGGTAGGCTAGCCATCGCCTGAGCTGAGCAGTGTTCTTTGTCCTGGAAGTGGGGAGCAAGTAGAAGCTGCCCAGCACTGCTAATTGACTGTTATTTGATTGTAAATTGAGTGGTCACAATGCACTAATGCAGTGGGTAACTAGTGTGAGTATTTTGGGCAGCTGGTATGTTTTGAAGGAGTGGGAAGGGTAAATCGCTCCTAAGGCAAGTTTGGAACCCTCCGTACCGGTCCCTACCTACCATGGTGCCAGAGTTCAGATCTCTAACAGAAGATGACTAAGGCGGCACATTTCGTTAATAGTTCTTCATGTTAATTCCTTCCTAAATGCATTTATTTAGACTTCGTTAAGCTGGCAGGGGTCAGTGTATTAGAAGGAGAAAGAAGCCGTGTGGCTTTAGAGCACACGTAGAGGGGAAGCCCAAACCCGTTGCTGCTGGAGTTGATTGCGGGCAAACCTTTGTAGTGAAGGAGCCTGGGAGTGTTTGACTACTCTGTATTTCTCTTTCTTTTCAAGTCGGCACAGATGAATCCCAAGAGAGCAGCATGACGGATGCAGATGACACACAGCTCCACGCAGTTGAAAGTGATGAATTTTAACCTCCAAAAGCCTGTATCTGAGCTTGAGTGTGACTGGTACTGTTGTGTTCTCCCCTTCCTTCGCATCCTGGGTCTTCACATCACTGAGCCAGCATTGTCATTATTCTCCACTGACACCATGAGTACACCACTTGGACTTAAACTGTACGCAGGGTTAATGGCAGTGCAATATTCAGCTGCTACTGAATCTGACTGGTTGGCTCTTACACGTTTATGAGAGTGACTGAGAAGGAAATGCTATTTTTGGACTCCCCTTTGCTGGAAAAATATCATGGAAGAAAGACTTGTGGTTTGCTGTAACGAAGCCAGTAGATGTGGGGATAGTACTAATGAAGCAGTGTCTTGTTCTTTTTCCAGAAATGTGTCTTAGTTTTGGTTCTTTCTTGGTAAGCAGAGTGCTGAACCTCATTTCCAAGTTCAAGGACAGTGTTGACAAATGCAGGCTGTTAAGACTTTTGCATATTGTAGTGTAACTTAAATGCCAGGGAATGTAAATGACCTTAAAGCTGCAGAGTCTCCAGTGAACAAACAATGCACGTGCTCAGGACTGGGAGCGTGTCAGACTACGTAAAACATCCTGGTGTCCCTACTTAGAGCACAAACTTGCAGGAGTGGAAACGTAGCAGGAGAATCACATTGCTGAATCAAAGCTTTCATGAAATGCTTTCATGTTCTAACCAAGAATTAATTTATTCACCTAGTTTCGGAAAGGTCAGTGTTTACTTTGTACTTCAAAGTCAGCAACACCTTACTTTGTTTTTCATACACCCCTTGACTTGTTCTTCCCCTTTTAAGAATAAAAATTAATAAAGGGCAAAAATCAAGAGAGAAATGTAGAAGCAACTGTAATGTGAAAACCTCAAACCCTTGATCCAGAGTGACTGCATGTTTCTAAGCAGATAGATGGGGAAGACTGTGGAAGCCTTAATACAATCAGAACCTTACAGTCAAACGCATCAAATAATTGTCTAAGATTAGTATCTTTTTTAAAACTGTTTTGTAAAGTATGATCCAAGCAGGATGCAAAAATGCGGAATTACCTGTCTTTCTCCTTTTTTTTTAAGTTCCTCTTTAAGATTCTTACTCTAGGAACACTTTCCTCTTCTACAGAAGCTGCTTCTGTGAGAAGAAAGCTATGCCATGTTAACAAGTGCAAAATTACCTTACTCTGTAGCAGCAACTGGTGCCCGTTATGCAGTGATGATAAAGTGTATGATATAACAGTTTTAAAGAGCAATTTATGCATAATAAATTGGGAATGATATAAATTTCATAGCAACATATTTGTTGTGATCAGTCTTAATTTTTTTTTTATGTATTGGTTTTTAGGGCTCTTTTAGTTACCTTTAAAACTTCATTTTTTTTAAACTCTGTTGTTGTCTTATGCTGCTTCTGTCACAGCTCCTTGCTGGTCCTGAGCCCCATGGACACCTTTATCATATGACAAATAATCCGCAAGTGCTGAGCAAAAATGTAATTCTCTAGGTTTTGGGGTGGGGTGGTGGGTTTTGGTTTTTTTGGAAGTAGGCTAAGCAGTGAAAAATAGGCTTAAACTCCCCTAATAGCTTGAAAAGGAATTTCTAAAATCTGAGGAATGATAATATATTAAAGGAGCTTTGTGCCTCTGCCACGTTCTTCCCATCAGCTTGTCTGGAAGGTTGCTGAACTGACCACAAAATCATGATGCGTTTCAGCTGGCTTGAGCGTACCGAACCTCGCACGGCTTTTTGTGGTGGTAGATATTCTGGGGCGATTCCCTCTTCCTGATGAGTCCTCCCTGAGTTCCAGCTTTCCCTAGAGCTGATCTGCATCTGCAGTGCTCTGGAGTTACCCGTGTCGGTCCTGACACGGTTTTCCCATCCAGCCGCAGCTTCCCGGTGCATCCCTGCACCTCTGCACCGCGTCTAGAGGCAGTACTGGTGCAAACACCACTAACGTGTTAATTGGCTTCCTTTTGGTCCCCAACATATTTTTGAAGCAAAAAGCAGAAGTAAGCAGGTGCCACTCTCAAGAGTTTTTCCATAACAAATGCTGTTGTTTAACTGGGACTGGAGAGCTGGGAAATTAGGTGGGTATTTTCCCTTTTATTTTGTTCTCTAAAAATTGTTCACAATTTTTAAGTAAAATTTTCACCACCCTGGAAAGAGCTTTTAATTCAGCTGGGATGTTAAAAGGATGTTCATGCTTCCTGGGAGGATTTAGTACTTACACTTCTCCCTTGCTTTACATGTATATCATACCTTCAAGTGATTTTTCTTTTTTCCCCCCAAAATCTCAAGTAATATTTAGACCATGCTGCTATTTTACCTTCTAAACAGATACGCAAAATTAGTATTTAATCAGTAAAGTTGTGCTACCTCTGAAGAGGGGCAGGGAGAAGGATGGCAAGCATGAAGGCACTCTGGCAGCTGGGTTAGAGCAAGTGTGTTCACTGAACGGAATTAGGGAACTGTCATTTTCTTACAACAAAACTATGGAAAAATGCAAAGTGTGGGTGTGGTGTGTACTATTTGCATTGAAACAATGTATTTTGTCTTTCTCCTATTTTTTTTCTTCTTGCTTTTCCTGACTTTTTATTTCAAAAATTGTACAGTCTTAGGAGAAAAAAAAAAAAAGTCTTTTCTGTTAATATATTTGCGATTCATTAAAGGATGTGGAAAATCCAAATAAACTACTTTTAAAAGCAGGCTTATCCCCAGGTCCTTTGGATCAGTGTTGGGATCCATCCTTCCAGAGGTGGGTGAGCGTGGTGGAGCTGGAGGGAGGTTTAAGGACGCTCCTTGGGGTACGTGGGGGCTGTTTTCTGTCCGGTGGGGTCACCCAAGAATCTGTCGCAGGCTGCGAGTGTATCTTCTGGGCTGGAATTTTGGGTGATGTGTGGTGGGGGGCATGCAGCGAGGCTTCCAAAAATGTTTCTGTTTATCATTGACTTGCATTCTGCAGCTCAACAGGAGACTCGATAAGCTCCCAGGTATGGAGCAGATTTTTCTTTTTTGTATTTTTATTCTGCCTTCCGTAGCAGCTCATACCATTGTTGGTGGCTGCAACTCTTGTCAGCTCAGCAGAGAAATGATTACAGACCTTGCTAGACTTTCAGACTTGAAGGAAAAACTTGCTAGGAAGGCTGAGGCTCACAGCTGTGTAGAATTCCTCTTGCTGTGTATACGGTCATCTTGGATTGAAGCTTTTAGCGCTCACTTTTGTATGCTATATTAACCTAATCCAGTAATTTTTTTTGAGAGCCAAGTTTGGCTGTAAAGGTGACACTGAACCCTTTCCTCCACCTGGTTACCTCCCCCCCCCCCCTTTTTTTTCCCATCTATCTTTTAATCTTGGACTTCTATGCTTGTACATACAATTGCAATCCCACAGTTAAATTCTCTGTAGCCGACTTCCCGCCCTGCTTTACGCGTGGCAGCGAGTGCCAAGTTATTCTTCCTGTGTCTCAGTTGCGGTTTCTCTGTGTCGGCTCAAATCCGGGTGACTTAGGCTGTACGCTTCCTAGTGGTGAAACGCAGCGTTGTTAATGGTAGGCTGAGCTTTAGATCTCCCTGGAGAAAGGCAAAGCATTAATGAAATTTGACTTGTAAGCTGCAATACTTTGTTCTGTGTCTGAATCACAGCAACGCAGCAAACACTAGGAGTTGTTAGGATCTCAGGATTTCCAGTTTGGGAATGGTTTTGGTCTTTATGAACACCTGCAGTGTCACGCTTCATTCAGTGGTTCATCAGCATCATCTCCCTGTTTTCTGTACCTGTGTCAAAGTTAGTGACTTTATTTGAGCAAGACCCGGTCCAGGAGATGGCACTGGTTTATGTTTTTAAAATAGAGCAGAAGAACAGGGTTCCTAAGGCAGGAAGCCCTGTATTCCTGATCCTCAGAGAAGCGGGGTTTAAAATTATGTTAAAACAGAGAATAAGACTTCCTCTGCTTCTTTTGCCTATCTGCTTTTTGAACCGGTATTTGTGGAGCACCTGATTTCTCAGTTTGGGTCCACCTGCTATATAAACCCTGGGAGATGTTCCTCGCTTTGAAATCCCGCAGCAGCAAGCAGCCGGGGGAGCAGGGACAGGAGGGGACCCGGTTCCTTCCCTGGGGTTGCAGCACCAGACCCAGACAGCAAACACTTCTCCAGCCTCTGTGTCCTCGCATCCAGCGGGGCAGAGTCATGGAGCAAAGCCACAAACCGGGAATGCCAGACCTGGAACAGCCTGTGGAGGACGAAACAGGAGAGATGAGGGTGGAGGAGACTGTGTTGCTGTAGCAGCTGCAACAGAGATGTGAGACTGAGAAAGGGGGGAGCGGGCACGGCGAGGTGATGTGTAGGAGCTGGGCTGAGTGACCATCCCCTCTCCAGAGCCAGCTGTCACATTCACCCAGGACTGGGCCAATTTGGGGCTTTTCTGGGTTTCTCAGGGCTGCAGCAGGAGTGATGCTCATCAGGGCCATCCCCTGTGCCTCTGCAGCCTTGCAGCACAGGTGAACACGGGCACTGATGGCTTCTGTCTTGTCCGTGGCTCTGGCTGCATTTCTGGCCCATCCACTGGGGGCTGGGGGTCCTACCCCCCGCCCCAATGCTCTGACCCATTCTCCTCTGGGACCTCCTCTCCTGGCCCAAACTATCTTATTCGGCCTTAAAGAATAGGAAGGATTTCAAATATCCTAATGGTACCAATAAGGGAAACATCAGAAACACCTCCCAGATCAGAAAAAAAACTACTTCAAAGGTCAATTCTATCAAAAATACCCCAGGAAATCACATCCAGAAAGGAGCCACACGTTTCTTTCTGACAATCTTTACATTCAGATATTTTATCAGTTAAAAATCTCCTGATCCAAAATCCAGCAGTTCATGCGTGGAACAACAGCAATCCTTTGTTGTCGGGACATTTGGAAAGCGAGCTTAAGAAGACAAGAGGATTAGTTTGCTACTTTCTGCCTCTTTTGGTTTCTCGTGTGTCTCACCAGATTTAGGAAAGGCACTTTCTGGCAGGCCTCT